GGGGGCAGGGGACAGCTGGGACAGGGCAGCTGGGACAGGGACAGCTGGGACAGGGGGCAGGGGACAGCTGGGACAGGGCAGCTGGGACAGGGCAGCTGGGACGGGGCAGGGGACATCTGAGACAAGGGACAGCTGGGACAGGGCAGCTGGGACAGGGGGCAGCTGGGACAGGGACAGCTGGGACGGGGCAGGGGACAGCTGGGACAGGGCAGCTGGGACAGGGGAGAGCTGGGACAGGATAGCTGGGACAGGGGACGGCTGGGACAGGACAGCTGGGACAGGGGACAGGGGACAGCTGGGACAAGACAGCTGGGACAGGGGGCAGGGGATAGCTGGGACAGGGACAGCTGGGACAGGGAGAGCTGGGACAGGACAGCTGGGACAGGGCATCTGGGACAGGGGACAGGGGACAGCTGGGACAAGACAGCTGGGACAGGGGGCAGGGGACAGCTGGGACAGGGACAGCTGGGACAGGGCAGCTGGGACAGGGGCCAGGGGACAGCTGGGACAGGGGACAGAGGCTCCCAGGCCACCCAAACCAGGGAGAGGGTCGCCAGGCCCAGGCTTCAGTGTCCTCATACTTTTTTGACTTTTTAGCTTTTAAAATAATGGTGAAAAATACATAACACGAAATGGACCTTTTTTACCATTTTTATCAGTACGGTTCGGTGGTGTTAAGTACAGTCCCCCTGGCGTGCAGCCGTCCCCAGCATCCGTCTCCAGAACTTTCTCATGTCCCTCAACTTCTCCTTCCCCATGAAACACCCACCCCCCCAACCCGCTCCCCATGCCCCGGCGCCCCCTGGGCCACCCTCTGTGTCGGTGGATTTGACTCCTCTGGGGACCTCGCATGAGTGGAGTCACAGAGTATCTGTCTCCAAAATTGTTAGCTTTCCACAGATTAGAATGAAGATGGATAAACAGGAGGGACATTTCTTTCTGTTTTACTGGCTTCCTTTTGAAGACGATCTTCCTTTTGAAGACCCCGGGATCACCCGGCGGGCTCATCTAACTCAGGACAAAGGAGCCCACGCTGTGGCCTGTTGAGAAGGGGTGAGGGGCCTGAGCCCGGCGCGTGATCAGAGTCACCCGGGGGGCTCGGAGAGCGCTGCGTTCACAGGCCCTGCCCTCGGTTTCATCTGGGAGCTGCTGGCCCCCCTCATTTGTATCAGGGGCAGAGATGAGGGTGCGGCGTCCCCCCACCTTTATACTGGTCGAGGGTCCTCAATTTCTGTGGTTACGGCGTGCGGGGGATCCAAGTGGCAGCAGAGAGAAACAGGCCCGTCCTGGCCGCTAGAGCTGTGGCTCTCGGCGAAAGCGCCCCCAGGCGGAGCCGTGACACGGCCCGCCGCCCCTGGCCCTGCCCAGACGGCTGTGGCTGCCTGAGCCTCCCGGACGCGCTGGCCTCTGGGGTCGGTCACGGGCGCGGAAGACTCCGAGGCTCCTACGTCCTGAGGCTGTGCCCGGGCCGCGTCAGAGCCTCCCCCCCCTTGCTGCCTGACGACTCGGCCTGCGCGCGTGGGACTCACCTGCTTTGTGTCTTCAGCAAGGTCGCCTCTCGGGAAGCCCCAGGAGGTGGCTTTCCTGACACAACACACTCATGTCTCGCAGTCCCAGTTCCAGCTGAGCGGAGGGCTGAAAGGGACTGCAGCTTCCCGCCGTCCGGGGACGGAGCGGGCGGCACCTCTGTCCTTGGGGGGTAGGAGCCGGAAGGGGAGCCCGCATAGCGCTGGATGCCTTCAGTCACCTGCAGGCTTGGGGTGCATGGCCCCCTCATAGTTCATGCAGGGGTGGCCCCAGCCCCGCTCTTAGGAAGCCCACACCCACTCCTGGGGTGGGCCCCCCCATCGACACCGCGATAAGCACGAGGCCCCCGGGACACCCGGCACTGCGCCCTTTCCTGTGACCAGGGCTGGCAGACGGCCCTTCCTGCTCCGGGGACACTCGGCCCCACAGGGTCCTCCCACCCTCCGCTCCCCTGCTATTTAATCTCTTCTTGTTTTCTTTCCACACAGGATTCCGTTGGTGAACCTGTAAAAAAAAAAAAAATAAAAATAATTAAAAACACACACACACACACAAAACCTACAACTCAACTTTGTACGGGGAGGTCCATACCTACCGCTTCAGTTTGCCGGTGGGAAGCTCAAAGAGCAGGACACTATAGGCCAAATATATTTTTATAAAAATGCTCAAGCCTATGGGGAACTGCCTTCTGCCAGAGTTTTTTCTTGGGAGGATGGAAAGAAGTGAAGCAGGAAGGAAGTTGGAGACGAGCAGGAAGTCCAGCAGGAAGTACCTGGAGCCTGGGATTGTACTGATTCTGAACTGTGCCAATAATACCATTATGTGCCATGTACTGACCCGAAAGACTTGGTGACAGAGCCGAAGCCAAGCGAACCACGGGTAGGAATCTCACAGAAAACAGGGGTGGGAATCTTCCGGTAGAGTCGCTATTTCTGGTTAATATACATATATAAATATATAAATACACACAGACACACACACACTTTTTTTGTACTGTAGCAATTTTTGAAGATCTTCAATGTTCCTTTTTAAAAAAATGTTATCGGTTACAAAATCTGATTTATTTAACATGCTTAGTATGAACAGGATAAACCGGTGTTTTCTACTTTGGCAACATACCGCACACACGCGCGCATACATGTGCACATACACCCACACGCAAACACACACATGCATATAGATGCCTATATTGGAAACGCAGTTCCACGAGTGAGCATATTCCATCCGGTGACCTGGTACCCCATTGCCATCCATCCCAGGGGACAGTCTGGACCCACGCAAAGGGACCCCTAAATGACACATCCTGCATTTGCTGGTATTTGGTGAGTGGCACTAGATGCATAATGTATTATGTTGAGCCAGAATTAAGAATGCCATGGTTTTATATACATACATACATATATATATATATACATATATATATAGACACATAAATATGGTCGTTTTTCATTTAATTGTTTGAAGAAGCTACCTAACAACCACGCACACATTATGTAGCCGGCTGCTTACAAAGGGGGTGGAGCATCAGACCGGGCGGGTGGCGGATTCTTGGCCATCTTTGTGTTAAAGCATAGACCGAATTAAAGAAAATTTTCCAGTTCCAAAAATTAAAGGAATATATCCTTATCACGTGTGTGCGTATGTCAGAACAGAACCCAAAAATACACGAGGGCCCCCGTTTGTTCAAAAATGAGAAACAGTTCCATGAGCGGAGGACCCAGGTGTGCCCCATGGGAGTGGTGGCCCTCGCGTGTTCCGCGTTTCTATCCCACGTGCTGGTGGCGGACAGGGCTGCCTGCTCTTTCTGAGGCCCGTGCGTGACTCTGAATCTTGATGGGGACCCGCCAGTTGGTCAACATTTGTGTCTTGCCGTGAAGAATCCTAAGTTGGACTTCCCAGTGGAAATAGGGGCCTGAGGCTGGAGCCTCATTACAGCAAATCCAACCACACATACATAATTCGTTAAAAATACTGTCCTGTCCAGGGCAGGCAACTCCCTCCCAGTTCCGGGCATGTAATTAATGGTGCCCTCCTGCCCCATCCGGGCCGTCAGTAGGGGGCACTGTAAAGGCAGCTGTTTTCTCCTCGTGGGGACCCCAGATTAGATGCATGTGGCCTGCCTTCTATGAATGGCCCACGTGTGTTTTGACTGAATCAGTATTGTGTGTTAGCCAATCTCTGAAATGCCCTGCAGACCAGGTTAACCTTGCCCGCACTTGTTGGCTGGGTTGGTGGCCTCACAGTGCTTTCCCCCGGGGCCTGGTCTCCCTCTACAACATCTTAAAATGTGCTTGCCAAACTTCCTTCTGCACCTCTGTCTTGGAATATGGGAAAGGAAAGCGATGCCAGGCGAGAAAGAAAACCCTTAGTGTTGAGTCTGTATTACTTGGAATTGCTCACCACGTGGGGAAGTCCTTTTTCTGTTTTGGGTTTTGGGTTTGTTGTTTTCCCCTGAAGCTCTGGCCCGTATGGAGGACAGTACAGAAACCCCCAGCCACCGGCATCTCTGGGTTCCTGGGTCTCACCTGCGTGGCCCTGCAGGGCGCACCTCTCTCCCTGCGTCACCTGGCTCATGCATTTCCTTACCTGCGGATTGCTGGAGGTGGCCCAGGGGACTGCTTGACTCAAGTTAGCACGGCTCAGTGTGAGTGCAAGGCCAGGGCTGTCCGCACTCTCTGCTCTCTGACACCTTGAGCTCCGGGAAGCCCCACCTGGAAGGAGGGGATGCCAGGTGGCCTGTTCATTCACCCACAGTGGGAACTCAGGATTCCTGACACAGTTTGGTGTCCACACCTCACGTGTGATGGCTGCTCAGCCCCTTCCTCAGACCTCGGGCTGCCTGAACCCTTTCCAGAGCCCCAAGTGACATTGAGCTTTTGAAGGAAGCTTAAAATAACACCCCCTTCCCCCCCACCAAACAAACAGAGCCCTTCGGGCAGGCACTCAGGGCTTGGGCGCTTCATACAGGCACGACCCGCAGATGCCCCAATGCTTGCACATTCCTTACCAGGAAGTCTGGGTCTGAGTTCACATTAGTCAAAACAAATCCACCTCGGGGAAGGCTAGTGTTCCACGGTGATTGAGGGAGTGTGTGCAGGGATTTTAGGTTCTAGGTGGCCCCCTGGACACATGTGGAAGCATCATCTCTGTACAAGGGGATACTGAAGGAAAGGAAGCCAACTTACAAAACTCAGCCCCACCCACGAGAAAGTCTGTAAAGAGACAAGCACAGGCCTCTTCTGAGCCAGGCCCACACACTCGGGTGCAGCCGTCCTGAGGGTCGGTGTGGTGGCTGTGGCCAGGCCACCCCTCCCTACGCAGCCCTGGGATACTGCTCTGCATCGCCCGATTCCCCTCAGCCTCCCAGAGTTCAAGTTCACTGGTGGCGGCCTTGTGTTGCTCTGCCAGAGTTCCATCTGTTGGGTCCTCACATTTGCTGTCGCTTTTTTCCTCCCTCAAGAAAGGTACTCAGAGGAAGGGCATTATGGCTTGGTAATTCCCCCAATTTCTGTCCACCTCCATCTTGTCCCTTGGTGATGCTCATGTCACAGGCCCCCGCCGCACACGGACCGTAGTCCGTCATCCACCATTAACGTTTTCAGAACAGCTAGGTTGGGCATCAGGCACTGTGCCTTCCAGTCAAGTCTGTTTCTAGGCTTAATTACTTCTAATCGTCGTGCACTTGATGTCATTTTTATCTGGTTGAAAGAATGGGTGTAATTACTTTGGTTGACAAGCTCTGAATGCCAAGGGGGAGGGGCTCTGGGCTCAGCTGGGAAAGCTTCCTGGTTGTTCCCTACTGGGCTCGGATTCGAGCGGGGTCCAGGGCAAAGCCGGGCCATGTGCCCGTCTAGTCTTCCTACTCGGCCGCAACTTGCTCATGCGCAGTGTGGAAGTGTAGGGACCCCGGGGGCACGTCAGAGGGCTGTTAGTGTCCACAATCAGTGTCCTTCTTGCACAGGAGGCAGACCATGGTTTCTTCTGCGTGTTTCTGCTCCTTCTCCATCCTGAGTCGGGGTGCATGTCTTGTGCTGCATTTGACTAGTTCATCCCGGTCCTTCACGGAGCATTTAGGAACCTGGTCTCATCAGCAAATCCCACCAACTCTGAATTTGACCCCCAGGAATTGCATACTTACTCCTGTGACCTTGACATCTTGGACCACTCTTGCATCTCACAGATATATCGCTGTTTCTCAGCCACATTTCAGCTTCAGCCAGAATCTTCCTTACCGGCTTTGGTCTTCAGGAACTTTGAGCATGCCTGTCCATCCCCATTTGTCATATGATATCCACACATCAGATAATTGACCCTTTTGCCTTGAAAGGTCTCTATTTGACTCTTATCGCCTGTGGAGCCATTCCATCTTTTTTTGCCTCTTCTCCCAGATGGTCCAGTATCCTCAGCAGCTCAGGAAGTTGGGCTGACCCCAGTCTCTTGGGAGATAAGACAAGGAGCCAGAGCTGAGGTTCAGGGTCGGGACCTGAAGCAATGGGTCTTTCCATGCCTTCAGCACACGCCTTTCTTTGTCCATATTATGACACCGTCACCTTGTTTCATCAGGGAGGCCCCAGCATGAGTTGAGGGTCCATTCTCCCCTGACCTATCTTCCCTCTCATTTCCACGGAGTCACCCCTATATCAAGCAGGGAAAGGCACTGAACATCCTGAGTTCTCTTGAGATTCCAGGGCCATTCTTGTTTCACGGCATGAGTCCCTTAAGAAGAAACTACTCACAGATGCAGTTGGAAGAGAAGCCACTCTGTTGCTTTCCGGAATTCACCATTCATCTGCTCAAGGAGGACAAAGGAATCCAAGGCCCGAGGCGCAGCCCACAGAGCACTGGGGTCCCCAGGGAGAGTCTGCCCTCGTGGTGAGAGAAGAAGAGAAGGCAGCTGCCTTCTCCAAAGCTCACCCTCAATATTGATCACACTTAGCAACGTACTTCTTAAACAACATCTGCTTTTAAGTAAGCAGATACTCCAAAACACGCCATGATTCATGTAATTTTGGAATGGTTATTTTGGTGCAGTTTGTCAATTTGCTATGCCATACTGTTTTTTGATCATTTGTTTGTTTTCCAATGTAAATAGCACAGCCCACATAAATGAGCAAAACTCTCACCATCTGAGAGTTTTTGATTATTCTTCCTGACTTATCTTACACTGATGTGCTTCCGGCTATGAAGACAAATGCTCTTCGTCCCCTACTCTGAGCCAAGATCTGTGTGTTAGTTGCATTCAGCATTATTCTTGGGGTTTTGGTGAGGTCTTAAATCGTTGTTTACAGTTTGGAATATGCTGCCATCCCATCCTTCCAAATACTGTGGAGCATGGATGTGCACAGTTTTGCATTTCTGGGGTTAGACTTTGCATTTGAAAATAAGGAATGAGTAAATAGAGGCACAGGCAGGGAATCATCACTGTTTAGATCACCCCAGCCACCAAGCAAACAGAAGTAATCTTTTTGACCTCAAATGATTTGAGAAAGATCCAAAACCAGCAAACACACTACCG